GTGAGATGTTTTAAGAAATTATATTTTGGATAGCGTAGGGGGATTTTTTTTTTTTTGCCATGTTTGCCTCACTAGGGAGATTTCCCTTCACTTCCTGTCCGGTAGAAGGAGGATATCCCTTACATTATATCACTTTCTCAAACAATTCATCCCCACACAGCTACCTCCCCATGTATCACTTCCCACCTCCCTTTTAGATTGTAAGCCCTCAGGGGCAGGGCCCTCCTTACCATCTTGTCTTGAATTGTATTGTGACTGTAATGTCTTCCTTATATTGTAAAGCGCTGCGCAAACTGTTGGCGCTATATAAATCCTGTATAATTATAAAGGGAGATTTACGCTCTTTTGATGTTGTTGAGTAGTTGGCAACTCACAATTTTGGATCGGGACAATTTGAGAGCGTGGATCCTCCCCCGCAGTCGTGTCATCCATTACATGGATCTGTGAATAAAAGACTAAAAGTCTCACTTGCCACTATGGTGTAGGGACTCGCAGACAAGTGCAGTGATGTAACTATATTTGTAGCCCATTGATTTCCTCCTCCAGCCTCATAACTCAACTTCTGTTATCTTTTACTAGGGATGCACCAATACCTGTATTTTGGTACCAAGTACCGGTCATTTTTTTTCTGGTACTCGCCGATACCAATTACCGAGTACCGGAAGTCCCATTCAGGAAGCCAGGTGGCGTGTAATGACTCGCCACCCGGCTTCCCGATTAACAAGCCCCCGGGGCCTCTCCAGCCAGGAGCGGCCTTCCTCCGGTCCGGAGCCGGCTTGCTGGCCAATCATGGAAGCCAGGCGACGTCTAATGGCGCGGCGCCCTGCTTTCTGATTGGCCGGTTCCATGCTCCCTCGTCAACATGACGAGGGAGCATGAAGCCAGCTTCCCGGGCAATGCGTCATTACACGCTGCCCGGCTTCCTGATTGGCCAGGATACCGGCTCCATGCTCTCTCGTCACAAGTGACGAGAGAGCATGGAGCCGATTCCCGGCCAATCAGGAAACCGGGCAGCGTGTAATGAAGCGCTGCCCGGCTTCCTAGGCATCGGAGCATTTGGGCGAGTACAAGTACTTGCCCAAATACTCTGTATCGGCACTGATGGATACTAGTATCGGTGCAGCCCTAATTTTTTTTTTGCCTTAGAGAATAGTCTGCAGGAGCTCGTACATTGCACCCGCAGTCCATTGATCACAGCTGCAGTGCTTTCCAGGGTCTAATGCAAAAACAAAATTGCACATTTATTTTAATGTGGGTGCATGTATTAATATTGTGCAAAAGGTGGACTATGCCCTTTTAAAGTGGACCTTTACCCACTTTCACTAAAATTCACAGCAGCATGCCGATTTAAAATTCAAATTACATTCATTAGTTAAACTTGTTTTTCATTTACTTACAAATAGAGTTCATTCACTTCCTGGTCCAGATTTGGCACAAATTATGTCATTGCATTCTGGGAAGGTTACATCAGCACGGCATTGCTGGGAGATCTCAGGGAAAGGCATTTTCCTCCCCTGAAATGATGTGCATGGTCACGTGTCCTAGTCACATGTACCAGAGTTCCAGGAAGTAAAGGGAGATCTAGTAATCTGCCCTTAGTATACATGGCCACTGTCAGAGGACTGGGGAAGAAAAGAGAAATAAGATATGCAAAGAATAGAAAGCCGGCAATTATCTAGAAGTATCTGTTTGTAGATTGTCATTGCTAAACATTTCTAAAGGTGTCTTTGTTATTATTGTAAAGATCTGGGTTCCTCTTTAAGCTCTAATTCCCACTGTAATCGGCCCGCCATGTACAGCTGCGTGCAGGGCCGTATCAAGCAGCTCACGGGAAGGACAGGTGGTAGCCGGAAAACACGCACCCCCACGGACCTGCACTTGAGGTGAGCGTAAGGGGGCGTATGGCCGCGTAGTCCCATAGAGAAGAACGTCATTGCAAGTGTCAAAGGTCACATCCCCACTATACACAACATATTGCACACTAACCCCTGAAAACTACATTATATGAGCCAATGGGAGACTGATAATGATATAACATTGATTCTCAAATACTGGCAGGAAACGGGCATGAAGTCTCTATAAATACATCTCTTATGTTTTGCTGATTTCTAGTCCTAACGAGGATGGCAACATTCATCAGAGGTTACTATCATTCATAGATGGTGATCCAGACAGTCTGGATCCCAGTATACTTGTTAATACAATGTGGGAAATCATCAAAATCTGGAGCAGTTGCCTATGGCAACCAATCAGCTTCTATCTAAAGTTAAACTTTGAAAATTAAAGATAGAAGCTGATTGGTTTTGCCATGGGCGTCTGCTCTGGTTTTGATCAATTTCCCTCAATCACTATGATAAATCTTAGTCCAGTGCATTACTAGGTCCCGAGTCCAGGCCGTTACTGAGGTCCCGAGTCCAGGCCGTTACTGAGGTCCCGAGTCCAGGCCGTTACTGAGGTCCCGAGTCCAGGCCGTTACTGAGGTCCCGAGTCCAGGCCGTTACTGAGGTCCCGAGTCCAGGCCGTTACTGAGGTCCCGAGTCCAGGCCGTTACTGAGGTCCCGAGTCCAGGCCGTTACTGAGGTCCCGAGTCCAGGCCGTTACTGAGGTCCCGAGTCCAGGCCGTTACTGAGGTCCCGAGTCCAGGCCGTTACTGAGGTCCCGAGTCCAGTGCTCTGTTGGGGGAGTCACCACAACATGGCAAATGATACCAAGGGGTCCCGGCCTTGAAAGGTTGAGAACCACTGCTCTAGATCGAGGTAAAGTGACACTAAACTCAGGAGTCAAAACTTCAAAATACATTTGAGTACCTTAACTAGGGATGTCCCAATACTCAGCAACGGAGAATGGCAACCAGCAATAGAGGACTACAAATCCCATCAATCCATGATTATACATGGCTGTGTAGGTGGGTGACGGTGTCTGCGGGCACTGGGAAGGAGGAGATGTCAAAAACAGCTGCCGCAAGGTCCCCAGCAAGCGAGGGACCTCAGACAGCCGCTATTGTTTACAAATGTAAAGGCCCAGTATTGGCCTTTAGTATCGGGGCATTTTCACAATACTCATGAAAGTGCCCTGTATTGGCCCCAGATACTAGTATCAGTATCAGGACATCCCAAACTAGTACCAAAAATGTATCTTATTTGTGTATCACTCGGCTGTAGATCCTCAAATCATCTCTGAATTGGTGCTGACACTGTCCTTCCTTCTGGAGGGTGACTACTTTTGTTCCCCATGGTCCCGGTGTGTGTTATAAAGTAATCACTGCACAAAGCTCGCTCCCGTGATGGACTACAATCTCATATGAGTAAACGAAACATGAGATTGTAGTCCATCACAGGAGTGAGCTTGGAGCGGTGACTACTTACAACACACACAGGGACCATGGGGAACAAAAGTAGCCACCCTCCAGAAGGAAGGACAGTGTACGCACCAATTCAGAGATGATTTGAGGATCTACAGCCGAGTGATACACAAATAAGATACATTCCTGGTAATAGTTACGGTACTTGAATGGATTTTTAACTCCTGAGTTTAGTGTCACTTTAAAACCAATATGAAGTCCATGTTCTGCTTCCTGTATCCCCTCCACTATATACCATTGCAGATCAGAAACATCTCCCCCCTGCATGTACTTTTTTTGCAACCCACAAGCTCCCTCAATCCTCTGCATCCCCCTTCTATATCCCAACCCAACATACAGTAGATATGGAGTACATCACCCCCCCAGCATTCTCATTCTGTAACACAAGAACACCCCCCTAAACCTACATTGCAAGCTGCCTGCTCTATACAGCAACACAGATTACATACATATGTATTCCATCACTTCACCTTTACCCCAATATGGACCACAAGGACTCCCCTCATCCTGTACATGGAGCGTCTGCTCCAACCAACCCCGCATCTTGCTCCCCGATATCCCAATAAGATTTTCTCTATCTCTTCCCTATATCCTAACACAGCTTTATAAGCACCTTCCGCCAGCTGCATCCCTTCCCTAACACACCAATATAGATAATACCCATCCTCCACCCCCTATATCTTCCCTAACACCCCAATATAGATCATACCCATCCTCCACCCCCTATATCTTCCCTAACACACCAATATAGATCATAACCATCCTCCACCCCCTATATCTTCCCTAACACCCGAATATAGATCATACCCATCCTTCACCCCCCCTGTATCTTCCCTAACACCCCAATATAGATCATACCCATCCTCCACCCCCTATATCTTCCCTAACCCCCCAATATAGATCATAACCATCCTCCCCCCCCTATATCTTCCCTAACACCCCAATATAGATCATACCCATCCTCCACCCCCTATATCTTCCCTAACCCCCCAATATAGATCATAACCATCCTCCCCCCCCTATATCTTCCCTAACACCCCAATATAGATCATACCCATCCTCCACCCCCTATATCTTCCCTAACCCCCCAATATAGATCATAACCATCCTCCCCCCCCTATATCTTCCCTAACACCCCAATATAGATCATACCCATCCTCCACCCCCTATATCTTCCCTAACCCCCCAATATAGATCATAACCATCCTCCCCCCCCTATATCTTCCCTAACACCCCAATATAGATCATACCCATCCTCCACCCCCTATATCTTCCCTAACCCCCCAATATAGATCATAACCATCCTCCCCCCCCTATATCTTCCCTAACACCCCAATATAGATCATACCCATCCTCCACCCCCTATATCTTCCCTAACCCCCCAATATAGATCATAACCATCCTCCCCCCCCTATATCTTCCCTAACACCCCAATATAGATCATACCCATCCTCCACCCCCTATATCTTCCCTAACCCCCCAATATAGATCATAACCATCCTCCCCCCCCTATATCTTCCCTAACACCCCAATATAGATCATACCCATCCTCCACCCCCTATATCTTCCCTAACCCCCCAATATAGATCATAACCATCCTCCCCCCCCTATATCTTCCCTAACACCCCAATATAGATCATACCCATCCTCCACCCCCTATATCTTCCCTAACCCCCCAATATAGATCATAACCATCCTCCCCCCCCTATATCTTCCCTAACACCCCAATATAGATCATACCCATCCTCCACCCCCTATATCTTCCCTAACCCCCCAATATAGATCATAACCATCCTCCCCCCCCTATATCTTCCCTAACACCCCAATATAGATCATACCCATCCTCCACCCCCTATATCTTCCCTAACCCCCCAATATAGATCATAACCATCCTCCCCCCCCTATATCTTCCCTAACACCCCAATATAGATCATACCCATCCTCCACCCCCTATATCTTCCCTAACCCCCCAATATAGATCATAACCATCCTCCCCCCCCTATATCTTCCCTAACACCCCAATATAGATCATACCCATCCTCCACCCCCTATATCTTCCCTAACCCCCCAATATAGATCATAACCATCCTCCCCCCCCTATATCTTCCCTAACACCCCAATATAGATCATACCCATCCTCCACCCCCTATATCTTCCCTAACCCCCCAATATAGATCATAACCATCCTCCCCCCCCTATATCTTCCCTAACACCCCAATATAGATCATACCCATCCTCCACCCCCTATATCTTCCCTAACCCCCCAATATAGATCATAACCATCCTCCCCCCCCTATATCTTCCCTAACACCCCAATATAGATCATACCCATCCTCCACCCCCTATATCTTCCCTAACCCCCCAATATAGATCATAACCATCCTCCCCCCCCTATATCTTCCCTAACACCCCAATATAGATCATACCCATCCTCCACCCCCTATATCTTCCCTAACCCCCCAATATAGATCATAACCATCCTCCCCCCCCTATATCTTCCCTAACACCCCAATATAGATCATACCCATCCTCCACCCCCTATATCTTCCCTAACCCCCCAATATAGATCATAACCATCCTCCCCCCCCTATATCTTCCCTAACACCCCAATATAGATCATACCCATCCTCCACCCCCTATATCTTCCCTAACCCCCCAATATAGATCATAACCATCCTCCCCCCCCTATATCTTCCCTAACACCCCAATATAGATCATACCCATCCTCCACCCCCTATATCTTCCCTAACCCCCCAATATAGATCATAACCATCCTCCCCCCCCTATATCTTCCCTAACACCCCAATATAGATCATACCCATCCTCCACCCCCTATATCTTCCCTAACCCCCCAATATAGATCATAACCATCCTCCCCCCCCTATATCTTCCCTAACACCCCAATATAGATCATACCCATCCTCCACCCCCTATATCTTCCCTAACCCCCCAATATAGATCATAACCATCCTCCCCCCCCTATATCTTCCCTAACACCCCAATATAGATCATACCCATCCTCCACCCCCTATATCTTCCCTAACCCCCCAATATAGATCATAACCATCCTCCCCCCCCTATATCTTCCCTAACACCCCAATATAGATCATACCCATCCTCCACCCCCTATATCTTCCCTAACCCCCCAATATAGATCATAACCATCCTCCCCCCCCTATATCTTCCCTAACACCCCAATATAGATCATACCCATCCTCCACCCCCTATATCTTCCCTAACCCCCCAATATAGATCATAACCATCCTCCCCCCCCTATATCTTCCCTAACACCCCAATATAGATCATACCCATCCTCCACCCCCTATATCTTCCCTAACCCCCCAATATAGATCATAACCATCCTCCCCCCCCTATATCTTCCCTAACACCCCAATATAGATCATACCCATCCTCCACCCCCTATATCTTCCCTAACCCCCCAATATAGATCATAACCATCCTCCCCCCCCTATATCTTCCCTAACACCCCAATATAGATCATACCCATCCTCCACCCCCTATATCTTCCCTAACCCCCCAATATAGATCATAACCATCCTCCCCCCCCTATATCTTCCCTAACACCCCAATATAGATCATACCCATCCTCCACCCCCTATATCTTCCCTAACCCCCCAATATAGATCATAACCATCCTCCCCCCCCTATATCTTCCCTAACACCCCAATATAGATCATACCCATCCTCCACCCCCTATATCTTCCCTAACCCCCCAATATAGATCATAACCATCCTCCCCCCCCTATATCTTCCCTAACACCCCAATATAGATCATACCCATCCTCCACCCCCTATATCTTCCCTAACCCCCCAATATAGATCATAACCATCCTCCCCCCCCTATATCTTCCCTAACACCCCAATATAGATCATAACAATCCTCCACCCCCTATATCTTCCCTAACACGCGAATGTGTACACTCCATGCACCCCCTTCCTCCCATAAACACCAGTGGACGCTCCATGCACCCCCTTCTCCCATATACACCAGGGTACACTCCATGTACCCCCCTCCTCCCATATATAGAAATATAATACACTCCATGCACCGCCTCCTCCCATTTACACCGGTGTAGGCTCACCCCTCAGCCAACATCCTCTCATAACCACATCTAGTCACGTGACAACTCGCTTCCATTACCCGGATGCGGAAGTAACGCTGGGGGTTGCCATGGGGAGCAAGATGGCGGCGGCCAGCAGGGTCGTCCAGGTAAGGGAGAGGTGTCAGAGAGTTGTACACCCTGCCTGTAGTTTTATATGCAGGAAGTGTGGCATAGAGCTGGCGCTGGGCCCGTGTTATCCAGTCTGTGCTGTGTTTTGTCTGGTTTGATGAGTATAGGCAGCTGACAGCCCGTGACCCTGAGAGGAGAGCTGAGGGTGACTCCAATACAGAGGAGGCAATCTGCCAGACCCCATCACACAACGCGGAGTATACTGACAGTCCTCATCAAACAACACGGAGTATACTGATAGTCTGCCAGACCCCATCACACAACACGGAGTATATTGACAGTTTGCCAGACCCCATCACACAACACGGAGTATACTGACAGTTTGCCAGACGCCATCACACAACACGGAGTATATTGACAGTTTGCCAGACGCCATCACACAACAAGGAGTATATTGACAGTTTGCAAGACCCCATCACACAACACGGAGTATACTGACAGTTTGCCAGACGCCATCACACAACACGGAGTATATTGACAGTTTGCCAGACGCCATCACACAACAAGGAGTATATTGACAGTTTGCAAGACCCCATCACACAACACGGAGTATACTGACAGTTTGCCAGACGCCATCACACAACACAGAGTATATTGACAGTCTATTAGTCCCCATCACACAACACAGTGTACATGATCAGCCTGCCAGTCCTCATCACACAGCACAGTGTACATGGAACACAACACGGAGTATACTGACAGTTTGCCAGACGCCATCACACAACACGGAGTATATTGACAGTTTGCCAGACCCCATCACACAACACGGAGTATATTGACAGTTTGCCAGACCCCATCACACAACACGGAGTATATTGACAGTTTGCCAGACCCCATCACACAACACGGAGTATATTGACAGTTTGCCAGACCCCATCACACAACACGGAGTATATTGACAGTTTGCCAGACCCCATCACACAACACGGAGTATATTGACAGTTTGCCAGACCCCATCACACAACACGGAGTATATTGACAGTTTGCCAGACCCCATCACACAACACGGAGTATATTGACAGTTTGCCAGACCCCATCACACAACACGGAGTATATTGACAGTTTGCCAGACCCCATCACACAACACGGAGTATATTGACAGTTTGCCAGACCCCATCACACAACACGGAGTATATTGACAGTTTGCCAGACCCCATCACACAACACGGAGTATATTGACAGTTTGCCAGACCCCATCACACAACACGGAGTATATTGACAGTTTGCCAGACCCCATCACACAACACGGAGTATATTGACAGTTTGCCAGACCCCATCACACAACACGGAGTATATTGACAGTTTGCCAGACCCCATCACACAACACGGAGTATATTGACAGTTTGCCAGACCCCATCACACAACACGGAGTATATTGACAGTTTGCCAGACCCCATCACACAACACGGAGTATATTGACAGTTTGCCAGACCCCATCACACAACACGGAGTATATTGACAGTTTGCCAGACCCCATCACACAACACGGAGTATATTGACAGTTTGCCAGACCCCATCACACAACACGGAGTATATTGACAGTTTGCCAGACCCCATCACACAACACGGAGTATATTGACAGTTTGCCAGACCCCATCACACAACACGGAGTATATTGACAGTTTGCCAGACCCCATCACACAACACGGAGTATATTGACAGTTTGCCAGACCCCATCACACAACACGGAGTATATTGACAGTTTGCCAGACCCCATCACACAACACGGAGTATATTGACAGTTTGCCAGACCCCATCACACAACACGGAGTATATTGACAGTTTGCCAGACCCCATCACACAACACGGAGTATATTGACAGTTTGCCAGACCCCATCACACAACACGGAGTATATTGACAGTTTGCCAGACCCCATCACACAACACGGAGTATATTGACAGTTTGCCAGACCCCATCACACAACACGGAGTATATTGACAGTTTGCCAGACCCCATCACACAACACGGAGTATATTGACAGTTTGCCAGACCCCATCACACAACACGGAGTATATTGACAGTTTGCCAGACCCCATCACACAACACGGAGTATATTGACAGTTTGCCAGACCCCATCACACAACACGGAGTATATTGACAGTTTGCCAGACCCCATCACACAACACGGAGTATATTGACAGTTTGCCAGACCCCATCACACAACACGGAGTATATTGACAGTTTGCCAGACCCCATCACACAACACGGAGTATATTGACAGTTTGCCAGACCCCATCACACAACACGGAGTATATTGACAGTTTGCCAGACCCCATCACACAACACGGAGTATATTGACAGTTTGCCAGACCCCATCACACAACACGGAGTATATTGACAGTTTGCCAGACCCCATCACACAACACGGAGTATATTGACAGTTTGCCAGACCCCATCACACAACACGGAGTATATTGACAGTTTGCCAGACCCCATCACACAACACGGAGTATATTGACAGTTTGCCAGACCCCATCACACAACACGGAGTATATTGACAGTTTGCCAGACCCCATCACACAACACGGAGTATATTGACAGTTTGCCAGACCCCATCACACAACACGGAGTATATTGACAGTTTGCCAGACCCCATCACACAACACGGAGTATATTGACAGTTTGCCAGACCCCATCACACAACACGGAGTATATTGACAGTTTGCCAGACCCCATCACACAACACGGAGTATATTGACAGTTTGCCAGACCCCATCACACAACACGGAGTATACTGACAGTTTGCCAGACGCCATCACACAACACAGAGTATATTGACAGTCTATTAGTCCCCATCACACAACACAGTGTACATGATCAGCCTGCCAGTCCTCATCACACAGCACAGGGTACATGGACAGCCTGCCAGTCCTCATCACACAGCACTGGGTTCAAGTACAGCCACCTGCCTCACTGCTAGGGACCGTGTTGGGCTATCACTGGGACATGTCCTCGGGCAGACTCCCGAGTTCTATATGTTCGGCTTCATTATCTGTCCGGCTTTACAGTGAAATCTCCCCACACACATTACCATCAGATTGTACAATCTCCGTTAGATGAACCCCCAGCTGTGTAGTGCAAGGACCTGGCTGATTGCATGCAGAATGATTGTATATTAAAGGCATTGTCCACCTTTTTAAAAAATCTGTCAAATGCTCCCATATTGGTAAGATAAAAATGTGCATTCATTATATTTTGAGCCCTGCAGAGCCTTGCAACCATGATCGGTGCTGCATGGGTGCAGTGCACAGGCTCCTACATTGTTTATCCCCCCTCCCCCCCCCAGGTCTGTAATGAGGTACAGACCCTTCATTATGGCGCTGGAGGAAATAAACAATGGACTACGACTGTGGTGACATCACCACCTAGCTGCCAGAACAATCTTTAGACTCACCACACAAGCTACAATCTGACTGTCCAATCTATATTTTGATCTCCTAACATCTGTGTAGTGCAAGGGCCGGTCTGATTGGGTACAGAGTGCTTGCATATTAAAGCTGAACTAACCATTCAATACTTACCTCCCCTCCAGCAATGTGACGTTCACAAGCCCCCTCGTCCCCTTCCCAGCTTCTTCTGGATTTGGGATCTTCAGACATTTTGATTGGCCGGGATGACATATCTCCCACACATGCAGGATGTTGATTGTATGGTCAGATTGTAGAGTGTATGGTGAGTGTTACAGTAGATGAGAACCCTATCACAATGGCATTTCATTTGCTTAGGCACTGTATGTCATAAACACATTTTAACTTTTTTTCATCCATCGTACTTTCCTGCAGACACTTTTTACATGCAAACATTACAACAACAATACAACAACAACAATCCGTTCTGATCACTTGGTGTTTGTAAATAACCGAGGGCATCGTAAGCTCGCTGTGTCCCCAGTTATGAATGAACAGAAAGTGCTCTACATCACTTCCTGTTCATTCATGATTGGGGACATAGTAATCACTTACTATGCGCTCAGTTTCTGAATGGACAGGAGCACTCAGTACAGAGGCTTCCTGTCCGTTCATAACTGAAGAGTACTATACCTCCTCAGATTGTGAATGAACAGGAAGCCTCTGTACTGAGGGCTTCTTGTCCATTTAGTGCTGGGGCTGCAGAAAAAGAGATTGAGGACTCTGTGTGCAGTGGGCTTTAAGGTGTGCCCACTCATCTCTGATCCCAGTTTCATAGTTGACAGCAAGTATTTACCATTTTATTACAACCAATGTCCTGCTCATATGGTCTTCTCTTTCTTGGTGAGTTGGTATGTTGCTGGTTTTCTGAAGCAGTACTGGGAAATCAGAATAAATATAATTCCAGCCTTCTGAAGAAGTGAAAAGAGCCGGGGTGGATTTCAGCTGTACTCAAAAAGTGGAATTCTTCTTTAATAGTTAGTTGCTTATTCAGAAGTTGAATATTTGTCTGAATCTCTGTGTTTTGCTTTTAGGTGGTTAAGCCACATGTTCCAGCAATGCGATTCCCAGACAGAAAAAATAGTCCAAAACCAAATGGTGAGTGTGCATTACAATCCAAAATCCAAAACCAACATATGTCTTACAGTTCCGCATATGCTGCCCCTACACTTTATGCAGATTACAATGACAAGAGAAGCATTGTTGGCTCACAACAAAATGTTTCTGTTGGCTATGTTGTTCTTTAAAAAGCATGTTGCTGCAAGACATGGTAACACATCAAACACAGTGCAATGAATTGTGGTGCCATTTATTTTGAACGCACCCCAGTACACTTGCCATTTGTGCATTCAAAATATTTTGCAGGTTCAGATAAAATGCTTGGCAGTTTTGGGCTAAAGGAATAGGCTGCTTAAAGTGACACTAAACTCAAGAGTTAGATCTTAAAAATGCATTCAAGTACCTTATTCTTATGTATCTTGATTTGAGGATCTACAGCCGAGTGATACAGAAATAAATCTCTGAATTGGTGCCGACACTGTCCTTCCTTCTGGAGGGTGGCTACTTTTTTTTCCCCATGATCCTGTGTGTGTTGTAAAGTAGTTACCGCTCCGAGCTCACTCTCGTGATGGACTACAATCTCATGTTTAGTTTACTAATTTGTATTGAGATTGTAGTTTTTGTTCATAGTTAAGGTACTTGAATGCATTTTTAAGATTTAAATCCTGAGTTTAGTGTCAGTTTACCTCACAGAAATGAATGTGTGCTATAAATTGTGTGCTGTGATCTCTGTCACAGGACAGACATCACCTTACATTGCTGTGACTTGAAAATCTGCCCCTTCTATAGAACAGAAGAAATAGACAACCACTTTGTAGCCATTGGAAGAATGTAAAATAAAAGTTAATATTTTGTTAAATATTATTATACAGGATTTATATAGCGCCAACAGTTTGCGCAGCGCTTTACAACATGAGGAAGACATTACAATCACAATACAATTTAAGACAGGATGGTAAGGAGAGCCCTGCCCGTGAGGGCTTACAATCTAGGAAAGCTTTACAACCGCAATCTATAAATTGCAGGTGCAATGCTCTGGCTTCTGCAGACTATTCCTCCTGTCCATGTCCATCCCCAAGTACTTACATGCAGTAACAGGGATGGGAGAAAGTGTCAATGGACTTTAATTGTGGTGACATCATTGAAAATATTCCGGTGAAACTACAAGTCCCTCTACCTCAGTGGCTGATCTGACTTGTAGTTTCTCCATTTACAGATCCTGTGAAAGCACCTGTGAGTGGGTGACGTTGCTGTGTGAGCAGAGCCATGCACAGACATGCCGATTCCAAACAGCAGCAGCCTGCGGGGAGAAGAACCCTGTGATTCAGGGACGGGTGGACTGCAATCTTACAATGTATTATGTTATTCCCCAAATATGGGTGTAACATGAAACATTGTCAGAAGCGTGAACTTAGCCTTTAACTTTGAGTTTCTGTGACAGTATTATAACAACTAATCTCCTTTATAACCACGTTTCCTAGATAGCTAAAGGTTTCAGATAACGGCAGAAAAGGGCAGGAGACCAAAAAGATACATGCTCAGTTTGGTTGCCTTTTAATGGACAAATCGCATGGAACGTCACACACCGACCTGCTAGAACCTAGTGGAATAATCACTGACTAATCAGTGTATCATTTCTCCGTGACGTAGAACTCCAGGACTGTTAAAATGTAATCCTTGATACCTGACACTGGGGGGCAGCCACCCACTCTCTCTCTCTTGAGATCTTTAAATCCCAGAAGTACGTAACACTGCACATACTATGTATCCAGACTGAGAGGGGTGGATATGTCCCAATATCAGAACTGTATTTGCTTGTTACGATGCAATTTAGGCTTTTATAGCTGATTGAGCTACGAGTCTTAAGCAGTGTACAGATACCTAGACCGAAGTGGCGTCCCCTTAGCCTTGACCCGTTGTTCCGTTGAGGAATGGTTATAAGGCCAACATGTAAGCGTCATCCGTGGGGATGCGACTTTCAGTCTGGTGCAGCGGGTCCTGGAGGCTGGGAGGTCTTTTAGGTGATAGGATAACCTATTGCTAGGACATGGAATGTATCATGATAGTATACTGTGCTTTTGATGACAATAGTGCCTATTTAGATATAACTCGTATGGCCCCAAAAGTGCTATGATGTTGATTGACACCAAAGAGCTATGTACCGATGTTTACTGGGATTTGTACTAAAAAAAAAAAATGTAACCCTTGCAGTGGGGCTACCCGTACGCTAGAACGGTTAAGTGCTTGTTTTGTCCGGGGGGGCTAAAATAAAGAAGAAATACTCAGCCGATCCTCTGTCCCTCCTGGCTGCCAGACCCGTCCCTGCAGCCTCTTTTCCTGCAGGCTCTGGCAGTCTAATAACCTGTGATGTCATCACATCTTGTACAGTTCTGTTAGACATGAGGCCACCGAGGTATATTCCACAGCCGTAGCGGAGGAGAGGTGAGCGGTCAGCGCAACAGGACCGAGGATCAGGTGAGTATCCTTCATTTTTGCCGAGCAGTTCATCCTTGCAGTGCAGGAGTAGCCCTATTTCACCATTCCAGAGTTCTTCTTTAACAGAAACTACATCAAAAACATGATGAGTATAATACAATGTGTTTCATTTTATTTTTATGTGTGTACACTTTTACGCATTTGTTTGGTAGTCTTCATTTTACCACAAGTGTTATTTCTTTCAGTGCAAGAAGCTTTGAAGTCTATGATTTTCCCATTCACTGGACCCTCAGTCACAGCACCACAAGCTACCAGTGAAAATCCTCCTGGAATCTCCAATCCTGCATCCGTCCGCCGAGTATTGACATCCACAGACACTAATGACTTATTGAAATCACTTCCTCAGAAGTACAGGAGAAAACCTGTGCCCAGTGAAGAGATGGAGTATATACAAGTGAGGCATTCAAGCTTTATTTCTATCTCTGGACTGAGGGCCATTGTATGCTGTTCCTTTTCTACCCTTAGCGGCTGAACGTTTGCGAGTGTCGCGCCATTTGCCGTTTTGCAAATGTCCGTTTTTGCACATTGGTCGGAAGTGTTATCAAATAGATTGTGGAAGAATTAACACAGCAGTCTGTTCAATTATTAAAGAAAAATCAAAAACTTATCCTTGCAGTGGGGCTACTCCTGCACTGCAAGAGTCAGATGCTTGTTTTGTCTAGGGGACTCAAATAAAGCAGATTTACTTAGGGCTTGTTCACACCAAATGCACACCAGATCTGCATGAGAT